CAGGTTAATTTGGACGGCGCATACAGCATAACAAGTTATTAGCCGATTTGAGGGAGAAAGCACGCTTCATCCCCATGGACGGTACTGTATGGTTAGGTGGACTCCTCTGGTGTTTGATTTATCACATTTTAGGGAGACGGTCAATTCAATCGTCGGCTAATGAGGTCACGCCGCTCACGCGGCGGGCAGCGTCGCGCGCGGCAGTTGGTGCGGCGATTTTTGTATGGGCCTTGGCTTAACGGTCCTTGTCCATAAGTTGCTGGTGGGGTTAGAGAACTGATAAGACCAAAGTTCCAGACATCAGTGAGCCAAAGAGTCACCTTAAGATCTCCGCAGTTATTTAAGCCTCACTGTACAGAGCTTGTGCCATGTAAAGGTTGTCCTTTTGAACATAATGAGACTTCTTTATTATTATTATATTTATTAACTGCCTGAATTCGAGCCACGGCCGACGTCGCATCGCGGGCTGCGGCGGCTGGCGCGGCGACCTAGCTATCGCCACGATTGAATAGTCACGCACCCCATTCTTAAACTCTGCGACGTCTTGGAACCGAGTTATGAGGGTCTGGAATGAACATCGCCCACTTGGGGGCACGCACCGCCCATTGTTGGCTTGCTTCCGCTCCGACCAGGATTGTTGGGAATACCTTAGATATCGCTCTTCTAAATCGATTTTGTTCTGCTCCTTCTGCTCCATAGACTTCAAACCGAGTCACGGATTATTTAATCAAGCACCGCCCATTCACAAAACGCTCCGCCCACCGCGGGCGGATCTACCAAATTTGACTTATCAACTCAGTGCACTCCTTTACCCATTCTTTACCCGTTTTCGGACTATTTCACGTCTGAACTCGAAATTTTTGTCGATGGCACGACGTTCCGTTTTCCATCGCATCGACAGATCCTGCTTTTTTCGAACTGCGAAATTCTGGATGTTAATGTCAAAGGCCTACAAAAGATGGCTGTAGAATATCTAGAACGGAACTGTGGTAGATCAGGGCCCCTATGACCACATATTTCGACTGATTCTACTTCTTCCAAATTGATAAGCGTGATCTCATGGTCTTTTCAATTCTTGTTCTACAGCAGAGAACTTTTCCTTTTCCCAGTCTCCGTTTTCTTCTCAAGAGAGCAACTTTGTGTCAAGTGATATCTGCACCTTGTTATTACTCACCTCAGTTCGGGTGCACTCATCGCTGTCGTGAAGCACTTTCGGTGAACGATAGAGCTTAAGTTTTCCGTGGTGTCTAACAGCCGAGTGAAAGAGGGAAACGATGAGAGTGACTGTGCGAGAGGCGAAGATGAAGCAAGCAAGGGAAAGGAAGAAAGAAAAAGCTTAGCAGGGGTAGAGGGGTAGAGAGCGCTTCAGAAGCTTATTAATTTCTAATCCACATTGAGATTTATTTCGAACGGGATCTACTTTGCAAGATGTATTCGTCGACGACCTGTCCAGGAAGTTAAGATATACGTGCGAGTTTTTGTTTTCGAGAGACTATAACTCTCTTCAAGTGACGATGTTTAAAATTGAAAGGGGCGTTGTAAAGCAGGCGATTTTCTCTTTTGAATACGCCACCTGGGAACTATTTCTGACGCTCTTAGATTCTCGATAAATGCGCGAGAAATTGTCGAGAAAAACCTCGAGCTACTCGGAAACTCTCATTTATACGCTGTTGCAAAAAAAAACTTTTTCTTAAAAGTCACTAGAATATCACTCCGACAGATTGGATGGGACGAGTGGTGATCTCGGTGGCGCCATGCTAATCGCTTAACCGTTCTGAGTCGATTCTGAAGGTGTTACCGACGTTTGCGCTAGTGTCACGCCACCGAAGCTGTTCGTTAATGTTATGTTACCTAACAGTATTCCACTACGTCATGGCGGTGGTCGACATCAGTTTGCGCTGCTAGTCGTGACTCCCAAATCCTGGAAATGACGCGTTCCCTCTTCGTATAGCAGTGTGACGAAGGTGATTTTCAGTTCTCAGGATTAAGGAAGCCGTGTACGGTCTTCTAAGCTGGCCTCATAGTCAGGAAATCCTTCAAACAGAGCTAAGGGCAACTCGTGTGACGAGTGCTCAAAGCAAATAGCCCGTGGCAGTTAATTAATATTACATGAACAAGATTAACATCCGAGCTAGATTCGAATCGAAATTTACTCGTCCAGGCCACTACTCCCATGCTTGTTGAATCTATTTCATTTTTCCTTGATCGCATTTGTTGGGAAGACCATCGTTAATTGTTCCTAACAAGCACTTTGAATTTCATTCTGTGCAGTTTTAGCATGTTCTCTACCTACGCCAAGTTACCCATATTAGTGAGTGACAGCTGTGTGTCTGTTACGACCCCTACGATTACGACTCTACACCTACTGAGGCGAATACAATTTTTGTCGAGCATATCCTCTCGACCGTTTCTCACTTTGGTGGTCTCTCAATCTGTTTTCAACATTAGAAATTTCGATAAACTATTGTTCCTATCGATCGGAAAAATGGGGGAATGTCAAAAGAATGAAGTAATAAAAGGAAAGCGCCCATTTCATCAATTCACAACAGCATTGTTCTATCAATAGTCAAATGTGTGCGAGGGGCGTCATATTATTGTACCAAACTTTACTGTTCTTTACAAGATGTCGCTTTAAACATAAATTTGTTTAGCCAAATTTATTGCTCGGATTCCTGCCAGCATCAGCAGAACCCAGTGCACAGAAAACGAGCCCTCGCACCCCCGTCCTCCGCACCATTACGACCTATCCATCCGCGGACGACTGCTACGAAGAGATGCACCACCTCCTCCTCCACCTCCTCAACGTGCAAAGGTATCTTGCTTCACTTCTTTTTTTTTTTTGTGGGTTGAAATTGAGCAAAAGTAGAGCTGGATAGAAAAAAATATTGATTGGGGAGGGGCTAAAACACCTTGTTTCTACACCCAGTTGTTGCGTTTTTGTTAAACTCGTTTCTAACCATCACTTCATTCTTGAGTGGCTCACCTTCAGAGTCATAGACTGAGATTCATTCGCGTCTACTGAGGATATATACTTCTAACGCCAAATGATCCAGTAGAGAAAGATAACAGGTACTCATTTGTTCCTGAGACTGCGATCCTCTGTATCTCAGGGGCGTCACATTTGTAAAAGCTCTCATTTTCTCCAAATTAAACAGTTTGAAAAAGTTCAGTGGAAGCGTGCTTTCTATACAACGGCACCTTTCTTCAATGCTTTGTAATCGTCTGTGATGCAATATAAAACCGTCTCTGTTTTTGTTGATATATGCTGTTGCGATAAAACTTTTTGCATGGCCACCGTCCAAGAAATCAACTGCAAATCGGCAATCAATATATGTGCAGCATTCCTCGGCACGATGAGTCCCCAATCAGATTGAAAAATGAACAGATTCGACCTCCGCCTATAAGAACATGGCCAATAGGCGGAGTTTTCGTTACAATTGGGTCAGTCCTCTCTTGAAACTCGTCCAATATCCTTGTCAGTGTCACCCATTACTATGCAATTATGAAATCGGAAGCGCCTTTTTCTGGCTACTCAAAAATCACAATAATTCAGGAGCTGGTCTTATACTTATTGATTGTCTTCGTCATCTATCTAATAGATCCGAATAATCGCCTTTCCAATTTTTATCATTTATGACTCAGAATTTGAAAGTTTGTAGCCCTCTTGGAAAGGTTACTTTAACACATTGACGACAGCGAACGACGTGTGTCCACATTTCGCCGCGAGTGTGGCATGGATATGTTTCGCGATTTGTTTAATGAATGTATAGAAAGATAGTCCGATCACAATCACATAAGTAGACCAGCCAAAGTGCGTATACGCTATACCAGTAACGAAATTTCTGAAAGGCTTTTGAAAAAATCAACAAAGGGTCGAGGAACAAAACACAGCAGTAGGTGCCTGTCGTCAATTATGTGATTGAGAGTGGCCTTACGGCTGTAGTACCAACAATCTTTTGCAAAGAGCGAATCACATCTTTTATTGTGAGGGTGAACCAATTCACTCATGTATTGAGTAGCATTATCTAGAATAGAATTTGTAGAACTGCAAAATGATGGCCACTTCATAGTTGGAAAGTTAAGTGCATTCAGTTATCAAATATTGGGTTGTCCAGAAATCCTGCTACGTCTGGAACAAAGTAAACTTTAGAAAAAAAAACCAACAGTATTTTCCTCCCCCAATGAAGGCGCTGGTGCAGTGACTGCTTCAAAAATCTACTCTCTCCCCATCGAACGCGCATCTTCTTTACCTACTTTAATTTCGACGCTTCCCTTGCAAAGACCACCTTTGCTGTTCGGAAGTCGCTGGTGCAGCTAGCATCTGTGCTTCTTAGCAGAGGGACTCCTTACGACTCACTAGTCGTGGCAGCAGAGTCAACCCTGCGTTGCGCAGTTCTCAACGGCCACGTTGCGCAGTTTCGCCCGATTAGACACGTTCTCTCGCGCGAACATTCACACTCGCATGCTCGAGCCGTCTGTGTCTCCGCCCATACAGCGTGCGTTGAGGATCTCTCAACGTGCCGTTGCGAACTGCGCAACGCAGGGTTGACTCTGGCCGTGTGTGTCCCCGGCTATCCCTATCGGCTTGCCGCTTTGGATGATATGTTTGTTCGAAGATGAGGCAGGGCTGGTGGCCCACGCAGCATTCATTGACTGTCTGACGAAAGATTACCTCAACCTTCCCAGAGGCGCAAACTGAATTGCTACAGTCCCGTAGGTTAGCTACCACGCTTAGATGCATCCATTCGACAGAGTTTTCGAACCCTCGTCAACGACTACGGGTCCTAGATCAGTATGTTCGCACAATTTGACAACCAACAATGGGTGCGCCCGCTTGGGAAGGTAAACCGTGGACCACAATTTAGATTTCTCTTCTCTTTCGCAGCAAAGGAATCTCTTGACAAAAATCATGACTAATGACGATAGCTCTGGCCTTGAGTAAACTATACACATGAGCAATACTGGATTCAATTAAGGCCAAGAAGCTCCTTGCAAAATACAAAGTAGGCTTTCGTGTAGAAAGGACTTTTTAGTGTTTCTGATGAGTTGCGAACTGATTCTCTACGGAAAAGTGCTGGATACCTGGACCACGGTGACGCTCATTGTCGGCTTTTAGTACCTTCAAAATTTGGCCGTAGCCATGCGTCAAGTTCATGCAGAAATTCTTGATATGGTGTTATCCCACTCTAACGCATATCTGCATGTGGCGAAAGATTACATATCAAGGGGTCGTGGATTTTGGTCGCAGAATTTTGCAGTGCTTGGCCCGACTTATTCGTTTCTAAATATTACGTAATTAGTGCACCGAGCGCTGCCTCGAAGAGAAAAAATCCAATGATTGAGGTCACCTCAAAAATTGGATGAAAAGCTTCTTTTCGAAGCAAACGCCGGATTTTCAAGATAAGAGGGTTGAGAAGTTGCCCAGAAAAAGGCACGTCTCCTACATGCTAGCGGTAATAATCTCGCTGGCTGAATATCCCATCCAACAGCAGAAGGTGCAATCAAAAATCTTGGACAAAGTGTCGCAGGATTGTCTGGACAACTTAATATTATTCAGGCATCGGATAGTATTTGTGATTTCACCATAGAAATTTTCGGTTTGGTCTGAACTCTACACTGACGCTCTGTTATACGGATGAGAAAAAATGGTGTTGCGTAGAACTGATGATTTTATGTTGTTGCGATTGAGTGTACGTTCAATTTACCTCCATTTCCAGATGAGTCTCAAGATATTGAGAATTTTCATAAATTTCGAACATATTTCACCTACCTTTACATTCAACAATAGCTCATATTCTTTCCAATCGGTGCACGCATGACAATGTTTATAGGAATAGATTTATTCCTGGAGTGTTTATAATTCGAGCTGTTGTTTTCGATTCGTGAACAAGTTTTGAAGTAATTCTAACTTTGTCAAAAGTCAAGAGCACTTCTGAAGAGTTTTTCGAGTTTCTTTTGGGGGTGGAAGTGAGTGGGTCAAGGCTGTGGCAACACTAGAGAAATCATATCAGAGCGATGCCTTCGCCTTCTGAAGGTCAGCAATCAAGCAGCAGGGTTGAGATAGATCTGTGTAAGTGATGACTAACAATTGTATTTCGTAGTCCGCGAAAGTTTCTGAGAAATGGTATTGTAAGGAGGCGATGCACCGTGCAACTGAACAGGAACTAGGGACTATCGATTTTACAGGAATTTTCGGACTGCGACATAAGTTGTATGTAATGCTTCTTACAAAGCTCTAATTTCTGACTTACAGTCAAGTGAAAATTGCGGGGAAACGTATCATTTCGAGTTACTGCGCTATATCATGACATTTACTCCTTCAAATTGCAGTAACTCACCTACAACTCTTGATTGCATAACTTTTTTTGGTAGACCATTGGAGGAACATATGATTTTTCGAAGTCCATCATTGACTTCGACGAGACTATGAACTTTCCAAAAACCGCTATAACGCCACTAAGAGGATTTCCTTTCTTGTTAAAATAGTCTTATTTCTGTAACGGGAGCTATGAAGGTGGTCGTAGGTTTACGACCTTTCCAAGTGTACTTGTATTACCGGCACTAAAATATTTCGTTCGAATCTGGATTCTCCGTTCGAAGTATGACGTTAATGATGCCATTGTTTCCACTTTTTTCTGGGAGACTCAGTCTGTGAATCAGTTCGAAACGAAGTGCTCAATCAATCTGTAAATTGCTGCGTTATTGGATTTTATATCAAAAGCGTAAATCCTTGATGTGTGTTGAATCACTCATTTAGGTCATTTCCAGAAGTTGTGACAAAGTGATTGATATTTCTGTCACGTTTCGTCGATTTTGGGTAATTGGGGCGTTATTGTTTTTGAAGGTGATCACACAGAAAGTACTGACTTTGTTGAGAGTTCATTTGAGCGAAAGTTGTTCTGCCCCTTTCTTTCCGATGTGCTGTATTTCTTCATCAGTTTGCCAGCTGTTTCTTCATTCAACTCCTCCACCCTTGTGCCTCAGTCGGCGACAGCTGTCACCATTTGCTCCCTCCCAGCCCAGTCATTCCGAATTTTCAAATTTGACGAGTGACCTTGTTTGCAAGAGGCCCGAAGCGAAAAACAAAGTGATTTTGAATTGGATGGATATTGGGGTGTGCAAAAAGTGGCCTTGTCCTACATTGGAAAATGTGTGATGGCGCTAAAATCATATGTTACAAGAAGTCAGATCCACTATTATTAAAGATTGGCTCAATAGAAGCGCAGGTAATAATTTGGTGCTTACGTGTAAGCGCCAACCCAGCAATTTTTTCTCACGAGGTCATCCCCTAAAGTAGAGCAATAGTGTCTTGCACTAGCTCGCGCTTTTACCAGTGGTTCTAGGGTTTTTCTTGTTGTTATCTCTAAATGTTTTGTAAGAAAGGTGTTGTAATCGTAATGGGATTTTCTATGAGGAATTCTGACGGATGTTGGTCATCAGTCAGCCTTTTTGGTTTTTTCAAGAGGATTTTAAACAATACTCCCAGATTTTTGCATGTGTGAAAATTTACGTTTTTTGGATCAGCGTTTGTTGGACTGCACACCTAGTTGACAAACACTGAGGTTTGAGTGGTGCTCGAATGAGTGGTCTCAAAAGGCCTGCTGTGTGTTTGGGAGTGTTAGTTTGCCTTTTAGGCTTTCAAGTGTGGAAAACAAAAAGATCATGGAAAATCCATTCTTTCTAGGAGTGAGGACACCCCAATACCAGTTCATAAATTTCAGTTCAGTTCGTAAAGTAGTTCTCAGAGTGGGTGTAGCGTATTGTCGTCCAACTGCCCGAACAATCATTTTAGTAAACGCTCATTATTATGTAACGTTCCAGGCTATTGCGACGGAGAATTCTCAGACTCCAAATACTCACCACAAGGTTCCACCGAAGGTTCCTCCAAAGCCTGCGGTATGTTTCTGATCTAAAGTATTGTTATGAATTCTACACCAAAACGCTGCCAAAATAAGATTCTTCTTGAAGAATCGGGTCGTTTGATCCATTTTTTCGACCACCTGCAGTCATAAATGTTTCATATGTTTTATGGCTGTCGTGAATCTCAGGTAATGATCAATGAATCAAGACGGTTTCATTCTTACGAGATGTAATAGAGCGCATAGCGAAATAAACAACCTGTCGACGGCTGGTTCGCGGCTCGTTCTTTGAACGACGTTTCACCCATCTTGTAGTGCTTTGCAAGCTATTTTCTGGCAGATATCGCGCCAAATAGGGTCGTTCCACCGCGTTCCCCCCCGTTGCCAATAGCCGTAGCACCGGTCGATGAGCCGACGCCGCAGGCTCCCCTTTTGTCGTAGTGGGTTCGTCTCTTCTCTGTCGGTGTCCGTTCCGTTAAGCCTCTCTTATGTCCAGGACGCGAGTAATACGGAACAACTTCACGTTTAGTAAACTCAGTTTCACTGAACTGTCACTCTGTGATTACGGACTCGATTTTGGATTATCTTCAGAGTGCTGCTCATTTTGATGCTGATTTTTCACGAATAATCTTCTCGCTCATCGGATTTCGGAAAGTGTCAACTTGTGTATTTGTTTGAACTCTTATAGCTCCTGTTGTCAGATAATTGGTCGCATTGATCAGACCATCTTTTGGCGTTTGGCCCTCACCTGCCTCATTCTGCAGCTGCTTGCTGACGGAGTTAAATCCTACTCATAGCGAATCTACGACTATTCATGTACGACTGGGATTGGCAGCCGAAACGATTTAGTGTTCTCTCGCCGTGGGGCGCTTACATCAGCCACATTGGCAACGAGCTTTTGGTAGGATCTGTTACTGGTTCTTTAAATTTATTGCTTCTGCTTATATCATTGGACAGGGAGTCGCCTATCTGGTTTTGTCATTCGCTTTTAGTTGGAGGGTAGGTAATGATATTATTATTGAAGCAAGGCAATGTGTTCAGTGCTCATTGGAATAGCACATAACTTTCAAGGTCAATATTGGATATCAGAGCTTTTCTCATGTTATGCCAGTTTTAGCACCTAAAGTCGTCGTCGACATGTGTTTCCCCACCTCCGTTTGTCTCCGTTACGTCTTCCGACACGAATTCGATCGGACATTCTCTGTCTAATGGTAGCGTCGCGAGCAACGTTTCATCGGAAGTAGACAACCGCTCATATTCTGATGTGAGACTATCCACTTTTTCTTCATTTAAGGCGTCTTGTGGTAGAGGGTGTCCGCCGTTGAAAAGCGGCGAACTCTCCTTTTCATGAGGCACCTTGTCTCTTGAAAACAGTTCTCATCTGATAGTTAATTATTCTCAATTATTATCAATCTTTTTTATTTACACTATGCTTTTTGTGCCATATCCAACGTTACCGAAGATGTCTTCTAGAAAGAAAATGCTGCCGCCGCCGCCACTATCATTCAAGCGGATAAACCTAAGGCTATCACTGAACAAGAACCTGTTCGGGTTCGGTCACAACCGAAGGAAAAAATGACGGATGCACAGGTGCTTTTGTCAGACATTTCCATTTGTTTTCGGGTTTTTTGTTCATATTTCTTTTTATGGAATTCTTCGCTTTGCATTTTTACTTACATTCGCTTCATTGATGTTCCAATATAAGGTTTGGTTCATCCCAAAAAAGCTTGTAATTTAGGTGTTAGAAGAGTTGCGGCAAATCGTTAATCAAGGGGATCCTCTGCAGAAATACGAGATAAAACGTCAAATTGGTTTGGGGTATGTTTTGTTCAACTTTTTCTGTGTAGTTTTACTTGGAACTGTTGAAGAAAATCCCATTCGTTCGACACTAGATGATAGTGCGTTCGTCCATTGTTCTGAATCAGGCTCATTTGGGGACGCAGTGAATCATATAGTGGTCGGCAACTTTTAATGTCGCGCAAACTTGCGCCACCCGAATGGTCTCTTTTTGTTGTCCATGTTGGACGTGGATCTGGTTTGCTTGTAATGGCCACATTTTTTGCTTCCCATAGTGCCTCGTTAACATGCTTCTATTTTTCTATTTTGAATGCTTTCCTACATCGCATAGCACTCGTTTTTGTTCGTATGTGTGTTCTTCAGTTAACGCACCCGTCGCATTCCTTTCATTCTGTTTCCTGACTTCTTTTCATTTGTCTGTGATACTAATAGCTTGATTGGTTTGATGTGTTGTAGCGGGCGATCAACGCCGATCAGTTGCGTCGTTAGTGTCCACCATGATTATTTCGTATCATACTGAGCGATCGCTTGGCTAACTGCCGTGGCTAATTGGTCACGCCGTCCAACATCTACAATCGCCACCATCTCATTGCTACCGCAACTTAACGAGTGACAGAAGTCGTCTCAGCTGATGGAATGGAGTAGTTAGACAAATTTGTAGTGTGACGAGTGTAGCGACAAAAAACGGCGACTCTACTCAACAACTTAGTCTCGAGCGTCGTCTGATTCATATTTCATGTTGTGGCTTGGTGCGGAGTTTCAAGGTCTTTTTCCAATGGAAGAATGGGAAGCTCGGTTTCATCAAGATGAAATGCGTTAGTCTCAGCGGTAACATTGCTGTAAAGTTTACTGTAGTTTAGTGGAGGGAGATGAAAAAGGAGTGCGCAGAGCAGCAGGCAGAGAATTTCTGGTAGGCAAAATGACGGACGAAAGAGAATCCGTTCCGCGTGGTTGCATCTTTCACGAAGGGTGCTTTGGGTAGTATTTTTAGGTAGGTACGCACTTAAAAAGAGGTCAATTCGAAGCGCTACAGCCATTATTAGACATATAACATTGACGATGTCTGTTTTTGCTGTAATACGCGCCGTGTTCATTTTGTCCAAGTGTAGTTGTTAGTCATGGCTTGAAAAAAAAAGTTCTCCAAGTAAGTGACTAATTCAACGAAACAGTTCATGATTTTCATTTAACTAACGATGACTAAACACTAACCAGGAAGGCATTTAGCTTCCCGTGGAACTTCGACTCGAGACCTAGATATATTGATAGAGCGTTTTGTATCAACCGCGCTAACCTCTGGGCTTTCAAACTCGCCGCGGAGTGGTAGTGTTCTCGAGATTTGCTCTTCCAACGGGAAGGGGAATTATGACTTCCTTGTTAAGGGCCGCGGTTGATACAAAATGCTTCACAATTCACTTTCATTACTCCGCGGCGACTGAAAGCTTAGGGTCTAGCAAGTTTCATAATGCTTTACTTTGGCCAACCTTCACAAATTCCTTAGCAGATGATTCATTTTGCAGTTTTAGTTTCCCTATTTGTAATCAGCGTTTGAAGCTCTATCGATATATCTGGATCTCAATTCAAAGTTCCATGGAAAGTTGAACGCTTTTCCTGCTAAGTATCTCAATTCTTTGCGTGGGAGAAGGAGGGGGTACGCGCTCTAGCCTTTCATATAGCATGCATTACATCTGCCACTGAGGCGTGCGATAAATGCAGCAACCAGCTTCTTAAGGCCATTCGCTCGATTTCTCTCGCATCATGCTGAGCGCTACAGGGTGACAAGTTGTAAACACAAAATTTAAACTGATCCCAAATTGCGCTGCTCTGTCGGTAATTACACATGTGGCGATGGTTGTCACAACTTTGCTGGTGTTTTTGCAAATTCAAAAACCAATGAGGGAAAAAGTGTTTGTTACGAAACGTTCTCCTACGGATTTACAAATTTGTCGTTGGTTGTCAAAAAGTGGAGTTATTCATTGCTGAGTCACTAATTTCGCTTTTTGCCATTCGTCAATATCTGATATGACCATTTTTGATCAGTCACCCTGCTCGATAGATGGAGCTGTTTGACAAATGCTGACAGTTTTATTTTGGTTTCATTGGTTCCCTTCTTGCCTACACTCGTAACTATCACTATATGCGCTAATTGGATTCCTCGAAGGGTCGCTTTCTAAAACCTGTTCGGCCCAGTATATCGTTGTGGAAGGCATGCTTCGCTGATCAGCGATGTTGGGATATTCCTATGTGAAGTAACTTAACCGTGAACCTCGGGCCTAGTTTCTTCCTTACCCTTAGGATTCCAAAACGAAAACATCTCTAAAGGTTGTATATGGGCAGAAAAACAGTTTTAACGGCCTGGCATAGCTATTTATTAAGCACATGGGTCTTTCGATTCGCTTGTGATGCAGTGCAATATAATTATAATGCAATAGCTAATTA